TCCCAGTTTTCCATTGGATTTTTCGGGGGGTGGCGTTTAAGTTCTTATGTGGTTTCTCCTCTATGTTAGGTCTCACCCCCACAAACATTTCCTGTACTTTTGCGAACTGTGGGGTGAGCTCCCGTTGCTCTGTCCCAGCTCCTGCCAACCTAACAGTTTGAAAGCACACCAGTGCAAGTAGATAAATAGGTACCGCTGTGGCAGGAAGGTAAACGGCGTTTCTGTGTGCTCTGATTTCTGCCACGGTGTTCCATTGTGCCAGAAGCGGTTTAGTCATGTTGGCCACATGACCTGGAAAGCCGTCTGTGGACAAATGCCAGCTCCCTCGGCCTGAAAGCGAGATGAGCGTCACAACTCCACAGTCGCCTTTGACTGGACCTAACCCTCCAGGGCTCCTTGACCATTTGTTTTTTACCTAAGCTTTCAACTTTGTAAACAGAAGAATTTATTTAGGAATTTCTGAGCATGCAAATTATATTCTTAGAGTGAGGTGGGGTGGTGGAAGAGGTCTGAATCTGAGACAATCCAGATTAACATCCTTTATTTATTCATAAGATTTATTTCCCATCCTTCACCATAAGGTCCCAGGGTGGGTTACAACAATACAGTGTACAATTCTAAGATGGAGCCTCTTGGGGTGGGTGGTCCTCACACCCCAGAGATAGGCAAATTAACCATTCTGGATGGGAGTCACCCTGTCTCTGAAGGAGCTAGTGCTTCATGTCGTTTTGTGCACTGTTTTCAGAAACGTGCATTTTTGTGTGCACTTTTGGGATAGAGAACTGCGACACAGAATTCGGAGAAGCAAGGATTCTGAAGGCTAGGTGTGAATTGGTTGAGTCTGTGGTTCCGTTACAGTGAACTGGGTAAGTTTGCATGTAAATGGATTCAAGTTACAAGAAACGAGATTCCGACTAAACAATCAGGAAGAACTTTCTGACAGTAAGAGCTGTTTAGCTGGAACAGACTTCCTCAGGTGGTTGTGAACTCTCATTCCTTGGAGGTTTTTAAGCAGAGCTTGGATGACCACCTGCCATGGATGCTTTGATTGAGATTCCTGCATTGCAGGGGTTTGGACTAGATGACTCTCGGGGTCCCTTCCCACTCTACAATTCCATGATTCTATGAACAAATTTCTCCCCCATCCCTTCATTCAGCTGAAAATGCAGTAATTCTATTGACCATTCCAAGGTCTGAAACTGCAGGGATGTTGGAGCAGAGCTGGTGCACAAGCCCATGCCTCGCCTCCAGTCCCTCTGAGAATCCATGGAAGGAATGGCTGGAAAGGGCTAATCACCTCCAAAATAATTCATAATCCTAGCTAAAGCAAACAAACAAAAGAGAGGGGGGGGCAAGATGCCTTTGCACTCCTTGTCTTCCTTATCATCACTGTGTGGCAGAGAGATGCGCAATATGTTGTCCTAGGATTCCTGCTGTTCTGATAACTCCCTTGTCATTTACTTTGCAACCCAACACTTTTATTCAAATGGCATCTGGTGTATAATAAGACTTGGTTTTTTTTAAAGCATCAAAAAGGTGATGGCATGTTCATCACAATAATTATGGGCTGATTCATGCAATGGCCAGTTTCGTGGCTTTTGTTTGCTTTAGAGGTGGCTTTTATTTGGTCACACACCCAGGAGGAAGGCTTGGGAGGCCAGTTTTGGCTGAAGGTTATATTTATATTCCTCTTTTTCCTCTTGCACCCCCCCCCCGTGCCTCCCACAATGCATTCTGGAGGGTCTCCAAGTCTCTGGAACAGATTTTGAGGACCCACAGGAGGGCTTGGAAGAGATGAGAGTGCCTGAAAGAGAGAAGTCCTAACATGTGAGCAGAAGCTCATAACAACAACAACAACAACTACAACAATTTTATATTATTTATACCCCGCCCATCTGGCTGGGTTTCCCCAGCCACTCTGGGCGGCTTCCAACATAATATTAAAATACAACAATCTTTAGATATTAAAAGCTTCCCTGCACTAGCAGTGTTGGATATGTCCCTTTGTTAATATATTCACACGCCACACTTCTTCCAAGGAGCTCAGGGGTATACAATTCATAGAGTGGCCACTCTCTCTTCACATGTAAATCTGAGAATTGTAGCTCCGTGAAGGGAATAGGAGTCTCCTTAATGACTCTTAGTTCCTTTAACAAACCATAGATCCCAGAATTCTTTGTGGGAAGCCAGGACTGTTTAAAGTGGTACCAGAGCATATTAAATGTATGGTGTGAATGTGGCCTAAGTAAATTTCCAGTTTAAACCTTTATAGTCTTCTCTGTTTTCCTTGCAGTGAGACAAATAAACCTACTCTGCAACATGGCTACCCAGCAAACTTCATAACCAAGTGGGGATCTGAACCTGATATGCACCTGAAACTCCCTAAACCTAACCTGACCCTCTAACTATGCTGGCTGCTGTTCAAGGACCACCATTTAGTTCTATGGGACAAAGTAAATGGAAGCAGCTGACAGCAGGATAAAATCTTTCCCAGGGTAATCTGAGTGGGATCCCTGAAACATTAATGTATCTGTGCTCTTTATTTTTTTACTCAGGAACCATCAGGACAAGCGTATGGACTCTAAGAACAAACTTTTGTATCGTTATTATTATTGACATGTTTTCAATGGACAAAAGAATCTGTAGCGTCCTAATGAACTGTTCACAAACCACGGTGTCCTACCAAGTGACATTAGAATAGCATCTTCTTGTACGCTCAGGTATCGCCCCATGCGAGGAACTAGGAATTGAAAGTGTAAGCAGGTTGAGCTCTTAAATCTTGAGATGTGTCACACACGGTAAAAGCAATCTGTGTTTGACGAGTGTATCTAATGAGCTGAGTCTTGGTAAATCTTCAGCCTTTCATGTCTAAGGACTCACTCCAACGAATGAATGTAGAAAATGTATCTGTTCTCATTTGCATACGTTGCTGGAGAAAGTACTGGAGAGAAAGGAAGGGGGTGGAATCTGACATAGGATAGCTTCTTCTGTGTTACTTTTTAATTAAGAAGCAGCAGCTCCGATCTTATGCAATTAGTAGGATGGCAGAATCTCTCCCCTACACATTGTTCCAACATGTAAGTCCTTGATAGCGCTGCATTTACGAAGTCTTGCGTCTGAACTATCTTCTAATGATAATGTTTCAGGAGGGGGGGGGAACCCCTCAAACCCACCAGCCCATAATATCTGCATGGTAATCGCTGCGGGCGGTATATGAAGTGCTAGACAGGATGTGAAAGCTGGACCAGAGTGTATGATTAACTAATAATATAGTCAAGGGATTGTATAAAATGGTGGCGTGTATGTCTGGGACCCCTTTATTGTATTGCAGGATTTGTAATGCATATTTAAACTCTGCTTTTCTTTTGACTCCTTTCAAGACGTCAAATCAGACTCCTGGCACACAGAATCTGCTACAGGTAACATATCTGCCCCCTGTTCCTCACCCCTTGCTATAAAACTCTCCTCTCTGCCCACCTTAGAAAATCATGAGAGCTCTTTTTTTTTTTTTAACCATATCCATAAAAGATGAATGGAATCAGTCTTGTTAAATGCAAATGAAGAAGGTAAATGCACATAGCATTCAGCTAATGGCTTGCTAAGGAATGCCATCAGTGTTCCAAGATCTTCTGCAATGATTGAGAGAAATGAGTGCTGCCTTGGCGGCCAGATGCTAAATATATCAAGCTAGTTAAGGAGCTAGACAGATAATATGCATGGTGATGGATCAATATTCTCCAAGGGAGGATGAAAATTCTCACAACACTTCAGGGGGAGCTTGAAAAAAATACACATTTTATTTTTTTTAAAAAAGAAGAAGCTCAGAAAAAATGTCTTTTGAGACATTTCAACAAAAATGTATTTTATTAATTTTATATCCCGCCTTTCTTGTGTCAGGCAACATGTGGTTCTGAGGCAGTCACCCCTTTTGACATCTTTAGCAAAGTGATGGCTTCATGTAGCTTCAGACCATCCCTGTTTCCCAAACTTGGGTCTCCCATTGTTTTTGGACTACAACTCCCAGCATCCCTAGCTAGCAAGACCAGTGATCAGGGATGATGGGAATTGTAGTCCCCAAAGAGCAGGCGACCTAAGTTTGGGAAATTCTGGCCTAGATAATACCTCTCCCTCTTTCTTTTAACTTAGGGGTGGAGGACCATTAACACTTCAGAAGGTATTAGAGTACAACTCCCATCATATGTGATGGTCACAGAAGCTAATAGCAGTTGGAGTCCACCAAAATCTGGAGGCCCACAGGTTCCCCACCCCAAGAACACTGCAAAAGCAGCATCCCCAGACCATGGCTTAGTGGCAGCGCATCTGCTTTGTATGTGGAAAGGTCCAAGTTCAATCCCCAGCATCTCCAGGTAGGACTTGAAGGGACCCCATCTGAAATCCTGGAGCCACTGCCTGTCAGTGTAGACCAGATTGGGCAACTTCAGGTCCAGGTGACGGTGCAGCGGTCTTCTAGGTCTAGACCAGGGGTTCTCAAACTTTTTTCTCTGGGCCACACTTTCAGAAAACAACAACAACTGGTCACGCTACACCAATTTTTTAATCGATAAGAAATAGATTGGAAAACAAAATGATTCCCAGCAGTGCTTGATTTATAGCATAGAACACAACTATTTTATAATATGATGCCGGGACATCCACAAGGTCTAAAACAATGCAGCTACTTAAGAACATGAATCACTTCCAAAATATAATATGAACAAGCCTCTTACATATAGAACCACAGAGTTGGAAGGGACCCTGAGGGTCCTCTAGACTAGGGACCCTGGTCCTCTAGTCCAGCCCCCTGCAATGCAGGAATATGCAGCTGTCCCATACGGGGATCGAACTCTACTTGATTGAGCTCCTACTTGCGAGCAGAAATATTGGCTTGGTTCGGAACGTTGCCCCTTTTGCTTGCGGAGCAACCAAAGCATGTCAAGGAGCTGAAGCAGAAGACATAATTGACTGCTGTTGTGATATACGATGCTACAATTTACTACAAATCACCGAATTGTAAATTTTATTTTGTTTTTATGGTTTTCTACAGATGTTATGACTTACGGCCTTGACAAATAAGGTGATTCACTGACGCTCTGTGCAGATACTCTTCTTCTCTCATGCTTAGAACCACAGGAGGGGAGAGTGCGAAGGATCACCTGTATTCCAATAATAATAATAATAATAATAATAATAATAATAATAATAATTTATTATTTATACCCCAGCCACTCTGGGCGGCTTCCAAAAAAATATTAAAATACTGTAATACATCAAACATTAAAAGCTTCCCTAAACAGGGCTGCCTTCAGATGTCTTCTAAAAGTCTGGTAGTTGTTGCTCTCTTTGACATCTGGTGGGAGGGTGTTCCACAGGGTGGGTGCCACTACTGAGAAGGCCCTCTGCCTGGGTTCCCTGTAACTTGGCTTCTCGCAGTGAGGGAACCGCCAGAAGGCCCTCGGTGCTGGACCTCAGTGTCCGGGTAGAAAGATGGGGGTGGAGACGCTCCTTCAGATATACTGGACCGAGGCCGTTTAGGGCTTTAGAGGTCAGCACCAACACTTTGAATTGTGCTCGGAAACGTACTGGGAGCCAACGTAGGTCTTTCAAGACCGGTGTTATATCACCTGGCCCCACCACCCCTTGTGCCATAACACACACTAACTAACTAACTAACTAACTAACTAACTAAAATAACTAAGCATATCTAGAGCTGGTTTGGGATGAAAGTCTTGTCGTTTTGCTCTTAGGAATTGAAATTGCCAGCTAGGGATTGGCGAATTTGTCAGTTTGGGTTTCTCTCCATTTTTCATTTTCTAACCTTAAATTCCATTCTCCGCATTTCCACATCAGTTTGCAATTTCTTTTTTTCTAAAAAAACCCAGTCCTCATGAAAATTCATCAGTATTTTCTCTTAACACAGACATTTTATGCAAGTTTCCCTAATAATCACATTAGTGCTTTTGGGGGCCGGTGTGTGATCTCACGAGGGTCACATGACTCACGTGGGAGTGTGGCTCCTGAAGATGCCCATCAGCTGATCGGTGGCTAGAGTGATTCCCTTTCATAGAATCATAGAGCTGGAAGAGACCCTGAGGATCATTTAGTCCAACCCCTTGCAATACAGGAATATGCAGCTGTCCCTTGCGGGGATCGAACCTGCAGCCTTGGTTTTATCAGCACCATGCTCTGACCAACTGAGCTATCCAGGCTCAGTTGCCAACAAAATCCAAATGGGTCAGGACCACCAAATTCCAGGTATAAATCTATTTAAAATGGATTGATCCTCCATGGGGATAAAACCATGCAACTTTCACTTGTCCTCCCCCCACCGCCTTCCCCCTTTTCTCCTCAAGCTTGTATTATCCTTATAAAAGTTGCACCATCTCTGTTCTCTCATTTCCTTCTACCTGCGGCAAAGGGCGATCATGTTATTTTAAATATTTACATCAAGTTACTTTATACGTTCCTGTGGTCTTGAGGCACGGAGGCTCCCTGGGGTTGGTCACTGGGCACTTAGATCCAATTAGCACTCAAGGTCAAGAGCGCATTATGCTGACAAAAAGCGGGGAGGGAACCATCCTGGTTGGTTAAAAAACTTGCCTTGCTGATTAAGGGCGGCCTTTGGAGCAAATGAAATTACAGCCCAAGAAATCTGATTGCGTCCGTGCTCGAGTGAGGTAGCGTCTCAGCGCTCAATTTCCCCAGCCATATGCTCCAAGAATTAAAAAAAAAAAACCCCTTCACATCAGAAGAAGGCAAAGGAAGAGCCTAAGGCAGTGAATGTAACACTGCATGGAGAATGAGGAGAAGGGTTAGCAGAGGAATTTCTCAGCGCGACAAAGAGCTTTCATTTCACTTATTTATTTTGAAGATGAACTGAGTGTTAAGAACATAGGAATGCAGGAAGCTTCCTTATCCGGAGTCAGACCAACCTAGTTCAGTTATGCCTAAACTGACTGGCAGTGTCTCTCTAGGACAGCCTTTCTCAACCTGTGGGTCCCCAGATGTTGTTGAACTACAACTCCCATCACCCCTAGCTAGCAAAGCCAGAGCTCAGGGATGATGGGAGTTGTAGTCCAGCAACATCTGGGGACCCACAGGTTGAGAACCGCTGCTCTAGGATTTCAGGGAGGGGGGGTCTCATCCAGTCCTACTCAGAGATGCTGCTGATTGAACCTGAGACTTCTACGTGAAGAGCAGATGCTCCACCACTGAGCTGTGGTGCTTCCTCTAAATCAGTATATCCCAAACTTGAGTGGCCGGCTGTTTTTGGACTACAACTCCCATCACCCCTAGCTAGCAGAACCAGTGGTCAGGGATGATGGGAATCGTAGTCCGAACACAGCGGGAGACCTGAGTTTGGGAAACGCTGCTCTCATTGTTGGGTGGGGCTTCTGCTGTCCATCAAGCTGGTGCAAGCCACAGTTTGTACAATAACCATTTGGACAGTCGTAAGAACATAAGAAGAGCCAATGGCCCATCTAGTCCAGCATCCTGTTCTCACTGTGGCCACCCAGATGACTGTGGGAAACTAACAAGCAGGACCTGAGCACAAGAGCACTCCCTCTTCCCATGGTTTCCAGCAACTGGTATTCAGAAGCATTATTACCTCTGACTGTGGAGGCAGAGTACAGCCTTTGTGGCTAGTTGCTATTGATAGGCTTATCCTCTACGAAACTGTTAAAGCCATCCATGTTGGTGGCCATTGCTCCCTCCTGTAGGAGCAAATTCAGCCCAATACATCTTATTGACCTGAGTTGGAACAGCAAATGGCACCCCACTGCTCCAGTAAAGGTAAAGGGACCCCTGACCGTTAAGTCCAGTCACGAACGACTCTGAGGTTGCGGCGCTCATCTTGCTTTACAGGCCAAGGGAGCTGGCATTTGTCTTCTTCCACAGACAGTTTTTCCGGGTCATGTGGCCAGCATGACTAAGCCACTTCTGGCAAAGCCAGAGTAGCGCATGAAAACGGCGTTTACCTTCCCGTTGGAGTGGTACCTATTTATCTACTTGCACTGCGTGCTTTCGAACTGTTAGGTAGGCAGGAGCTGGGACCAATTAACGGGAGCTCACCCAGTTGTGGGGATTCGAACCACCGACCTTCCAAACGGCAAGTCCAAGTGGCGCAGTGGTTTAAACCACAGCGCCACCCACTGAGTACTGAGGACCAACTCCAGATTTGAGGGGGCCCTGGGTGAAATGTCCTCTGGTGAGGTCCCTCCTTCATTAGCAGAACTTGGTAGGGTTACACTGCTGCAGTGGCAGTGATTGAAGCAGCATTGCCTGGCTAAATAAATGTATTCTGTCCCCCCCATGCCCACACCAATGCTCCAGAGCAAGGCTAGGTTATGGGTAGAGATGGGTGGATCAGCCTAAGTCCGTTCTGTGCCACCCTTGCTAATACTCAGTTGTAGTTACGCTCCATCCTATTTTTCACAGAGTTTCCAAAAGAATGCATGAAAAATCTTCATGTACATTGTATGCATTTTGTACATGTTCTTCCATTAAACTACACATTTCCCCAATGCAGTTTCCTCCTAAAGTTGCCTTTTGTACACGTTTTCAGCAAAATCCATGTGTGCACGTTTTGGGGGACTGAAGGTACATTGCTTAAAATGTAGAAGAGCATAATTTGACCGATAGCTGCATTCTGATCTGCAAGCAAGTTTGGGAATGTTGATTTGGGTTGGTCCGCTGTGAAATTCAAACTGAATGAATTTGGCCCTCATCCTTAGCAGTGGAGGAAATGTACATCATCTATCCACCTGTTGCTGCTCAGGGTGATGGGCCAGGAAAACAAAATTAAAGGAACCCCAGGGAATGCATTGGCAGAGGACCCTACCTGAGTACTTTATGCCTAGGCAGCTGATCAAGGATTCCAGGCATTGAGGCTGGCCCTGAGGGCACCTACCACATCTATCCTACTGTGGTGTTAAGATTGGCACAGGGGCCTCTCTTGGTAGTTCCACCAACCTTGAAAATGTAGTGAATGGAGACCTGGGAGCAGGCTTTCTCTGTGACAGCTCCTAAGCTGTGGAACTCCCTCACGCAGGGACACACCTAGCATTTTCCTTGTACAGCTTCCACTGTATGCTTAAGATGCAGCTCTTTATCCTACTCTTTGACAGTCAAGGTACATTATTATGTACATTATGGTGCATCTCCACCTCCATCATCCAGCACAGACACAGGTCTAGCTCTGAGGGCGAGAAGCGAAGTTATGGACCACAGGTATGAAGTTTACGACATGTAATGCCTTAAGAGAGAATATTATGAAAATGGTATACAGGTGGTACATGACCCCAGTCAAGCTTGCAAAAATCTATCATTTGCCCGATAATAAATGTTGGAAATGTAAAGAAACTGAAGGTACATTCTTTCACCTTTGGTGGACGTGCCCAAGGATTAAGGCTTTCTGGGAGATGATCTATAATGAATTGAAAAAAGTATTTAAATATACTTTCTTGAAGAAACCAGAGGCCTTTCTCCTGGGCATAGTCGGCCAATCGGTGCCAAAGAAGGATAGAACTTTTTTCATGTATGCCACAACAGCAGCAAGAATACTCATCGCAAAGTATTGGAAGACACAAGATCTACCCACTCTGGAAGAATGGCAGATGAAGGTGATTGACTATATGGAATTGGCGGAAATGACTGGCAGAATCCGAGACCAGGGAGAAGAGTCGGTGGAAGAGGATTGGAAGAAATTTAAAGACTACTTACAGAAATATTGCAAAATTAATGAATGTTAGAATGATGTTGGATAGAAATTAAGTGGTTTTTAGCTGAAATACCATAAGGGAATATGAAAAATGGATTATTAACAGGTAAAAATCTAATGTTACAATATTTTAAGATTAAAGACTAGGATAAACAAACTGTATTCCAGTTCAGTTTGTTGGTTCAGCAAAAGGGAGGCGTGAGGAGGTCCGGGAAACAAGCTAATGAAAAATAAGTAATGGAAAGATTGTGTTGTTTTTAATCATTTTTATTTTGTATTTTTTTTTTTATCTTTATTTTTTGTAATATCTTGAAAACCTTAATAAATATCTTAAAAAAACAAAAAATAAAAAAACAACCACCACACAAACCACTAGGGGAAAGAGGCACACAACTACATGTCACATGCAGTTTGGCCCTGCGATTCGAACATCTCATGGGGATATTTCTAATTAAACCTTTCCCCTTCTGGAAAGTGTGTCTTATCAAATATGTGCACTTATAAATAAATATATGATGCAGCTCAAAAAAAAAGAAAAAAAGAAGAAGAGAGAAGCGAAGTTACAGGGAAGCAGGCCCAGGGCCTTCTCAGCAGTGGTGCCCTCCCTGTGGAACGCCCTCCCATCAGATGTCAAACAGATAGACAACTATCTGACTTTTAGAAGACATCTGAAGGGAAGTTTTTAATGAATGATGTCATATTGTGTTTGAATTTGTTGGAAGCTGCCCAGAGTGGCTAGAGTAACCAGTTTTACTTTGTTTTATCTGTTTTTATAACTGTGTCCTGTGCTGAAGTAACCTACCCCTGAGACCTTATGGTGAAAGGTGGGTAAGACATCTTATAAAATAAATAGATGAGATAACACTGTGTGCCAAATAGAGCTGCTTGGTGGGCCTAAATGAGCCATTAGGCCATGGGTTCCCCACCACTGTGGTATATGAACCATTGGCTGAGGAGGAAAGCAGAAGGCCTCTTGTTTGTATAAAATGAAATCAAGCGGATTAACTTAAATTGATATCCTTACTTACATTGTTTCCTAAGCAAGCAATTTTGAGGGGGAGTGGATGATATTTCTCTCAGCCGTGCTGTAATGTCTTCAGGATTTGAAGGTTGCTCTTTACTGCACTGTCAGGAAAAGACAAAGGATGAGAAGCATTGTTTAGAAGCATCAAAGAAGAAATCAAAGTGATGATGTAATGGCTCAACCCAGGAAACAATTAGAAGATCATTTTTACTAAACATTTTACGACTCCACATTTGCATCTGGGGAATATTAGAGTAAATATAGCATGAGGAAATTAGTCTTAATTTCATGTTAATGGAAAAATCAATTCAGTTCTAATTATGTTATGATTTATAATATACAATCCGGCAGTTCTTTAAATGCTTTGATTAGGTTGTTCAATTGTTGATTTTTTCCCCCTCAACCTAAATAAGATTAATTCTGTTTCTAATCACACATTGAAATGCATAAATCTATTGGCAGTAGAGTCTACTTAACCTCAGGGAAGCTGGAATAAAAAGAGAGGGAAGTATATTAATTACAGTATTTTCTATACATGAATGTTCAAGAAGGCCTGTGAGCCCACAAGTCTAGAGAACTTGGCAACTGAGGGGAAATGAGTCACATCGCAGAAGAGATTGGGCCACCTGCTGAAGGTGCTGACAAGAGCCATGAGACGAGACAAGTGCAGAATAAAAGGCCTCATGAAGTCCTGTTTGTGGAAGAGAGAAATTGCGGGGAACATTTCACCAAACTTCTCTGCCAGAGAGGAGACATTCTCAAAGAGTTTCTCAAAGGCGAGGCTCACCATTAGCACAGCTTCTTCCTTTGTTTAAACCTAATTTTTAATTTTGCTATCTCTGCAAGTGGTAGCGGCAACTGTGGTGGTAATGGGGCCGCCATTTTGTATCCACCATGATGCCCTGAAGTTAGAGTCATTCTGGGACGCTGATAGAGGGTGTGTGAAAGAGAGGTGTGTGGAATGGCAGCTGCCACAGAAAACGGCAGGCAATATGCTGAGAGAATTCTGCAGAGTGGCCTTGTTATTCTAGGGGCATGTGAAAAAGAGACACCTCAGAAATGTTCTCAGAAAAATGTCTTCAGAGAAATTTTGCCTTGGTTCTGATTGAGCCTGCGGCTGGAGGGGATTCAGTTAATTCATCCCACAGCATCTTGTATTCCATTTGTTGAACTTGTCACATATTAGAGAACTCGGTCATGTGATTCTCCTCCTACATCAGGGTAGTCAACATGGTACCATAATCCCTTACCCGTGCCCAAACTGGCTGAGGAGGTTGTGTCCACAATATCCCGACATTATCATGTTGTTAAGACCACAAGCTTCTCCGGACAACATTTTTTGGGTGAATATGCTTATCATTCTAGTTTCTGTTTTGTTTTAAATGTATCTGTTGTTTTTTGTGTTTTTAATTATTTTATATGCAATTCATTTTATGTGTAAATCACTGTGAGACAGCGGTTTAGAAGGTATAATAATAATAATAATAATAATAATAATAATAATAATACTTTTCAAGTAATGTATGATTAAAGACCCAGCATAAATTATGCTGATCCATAAAGCATGTCAGAAAGGAATTCATATAGAAGATACCCTCTGGCTGAATCAAAACAATGCAGTACTCTGAGTTTTGGTGGGCAAACATAAAAGGGATGAGAAAATAAATAAAAAGAGGTTCAGAGATTCACCACTGCTGAGAGAATGATGTTTCAGGAAGCTGTGTGAGGTACATCCTGAGGCATTCTGACAGCTTGTGGAGCGGAGAATCTCAGGAGTATTTACATCTCACTTTCTAATTTAAAACAAAGAAAACAGGGGTGAGGAGGTGTTTTCTAAGCTTGAAATGGGACTTTCGTAAGCCTAGAAGGGTTGATCTTCCTTGTAGCATTGTAGATTGTTTAGACCAGATTTGGACAGATTTTCGACTTGTGGTATTTATTTTTTCTTTCCAGTTAGAACCCGCAAAGGGATCAAGTGGACCCAGGTGCCAAATAGTGGTTCACATTGGTGAGCACAGAACACATACCCTCCAACATGTCTCCCATGAAAATAGAGATTTATTATTATTATTATTATTATTATTATTATTATTATTACCCTGCCCATCTGACTGGGTTGACCCAGCCACTCTGGGCATATTCCAAAATATATAAAAACATGATAACACATCAAACATTAGCAAACTTTCCTATACAGGACTGCCTTCTAAAAGTTGTTTTCCTTGGCTCAGGGGTCCCATAACTCCATACACTCCAACATTTCTCCAATGAAAATAGGGATGTCCCAGGATCAGATCAGAAACTGGGACAGCTTCTGTAAATCTGGGACTGTCCCTGGAAAATAGAGGCATTTGGAGGGTCTGAGAACAACAGGTGCTTCTGAGCTAGAGATGTGGAAGAGACAGGATCCAGTTCTCATTTAAATGCTGGATCTGAAAACAAGAACTGCTGAAAAGCTTTTTAAAAGATCAGTCATTAAAATACAATTAAACATTTGATAGAATTAAAACGATGTACGCCTATAAATTGCGTTTGAAAAATACCCATAGTTTCAATGAAAACAGCATTGCTTTATTGTTGTTGTTTAGTCGTTTAGTCATGTCCTACTCTCCGTGACCCCATGGACCAGAGCACCCCAGGCACTCCTGTCTTCCACTGCCTCCTGCAGTTTGGTCAAACTCATGTTAGTAGCTTTGAGAACACTGTCCAACCATCTCGTCTTCTGTCGTCCCCTTCTCCTTGTGCCCTCAATCTTTCCCAACATCAGGGTCTTTTCCAGGGAGTCTTCTCTTCTCATGAGGTGGCCAAAGTATTGGAGCCTCAGCTTCACGATCTGTCCTTCCGGTGAGCACTCAGGGCTGATTTCCTTAAGAATGGATAGGTTTGATCTTCTTGCAGTCCATGGGACTCTCAGGAGTCTCCTGCAGCACCATAATTCAAAAGCATCAATTCTTCGGTGATCAGCCTGCTTTATGGTCCAGCTCTCACTTCCATACATCACTACTGGGAAAACCATAGCTTTAATTAAAAGCAGTCTGTTCCCAAAAGCCTTTTGGAACAAGAAAGTCTTCACCTGCCGGTGGAAAGCAAGCAAGGAGGGTTCCAATCCAGCTTCTCTAGGGAGGGAGTACTAGATCGGAAGTCCTTCAACACTGAAAGTTCAGTTTCTTACAAGAGTGGAATGAATATGATGCTGCCTCTGTAACTGCGCTAGTTCTGGAGACTGAAATGGTTCCATGCGCAATGCAAATCACCTCAGCCTTTTGAGTGTCTAGCTACCCCACACAGCATGATCTCCTTCCTGCAGGATTTTCAAAAAACCTTTACCAACGTGGTCACAAATATCCCAGTTCTAAAGCACTTGGAGGGGCTGTAGCTCAAGCCGAGAGGCAGATGAAAACACTGCTTGCTTCTACCAACATCCTTCTTCTCTTTATTATCATCATCTGGCTTTCCTTTATGGCCCCGATACACTGCGCAAACTGCTGCTGTTAATATAAGACGCGCCGAAAAGCTCCAGTCAGTGCTTGCCCTCCACCTCCAACCGAAGATGTAATGGAAAAAATCAGTGACCTGCTGAATTCTTAGGTTAAGTAAATTGTTACTTTCCTTGAAGTCTGTAGAAGGATGTCTGTTTCCTTTGTGACATGTTCTTACCAGGATCCATACAATGGGGTGTAATGAATGTTGCTAGTGCCTGACCCCAGAAATCACATATTTATGTATTTGGAAACACTGCAAGGCATGTTATTTGTTCCGGTCAGTAGAAATCTCAACCTCTCCTTTCTAAGCTTCTCAAAGTACATCCATCCGCTTAGGTGATTATTTTAGAATGTATGGGCAAGCACTGGAGTTTCCAAGCTGCCAAACGGCAGGCAAAATGAAAAATGAGAATTTTCTGTCGTGCATCAAGCAGTATGACCCAGGATTCTCCCTGTGTGCTATTACCCCAATGCTCAGATGGCAATTGTGATCAATTAAAAACAGACAAACCTTTCGGGCTGGGTCACATCTCTGCAGTACATTGAAAGCACATGACACGTGCTAAAGAATACAGTGGTACCTTGGTTCTCGAACTTAATCCATTCCAGTCCGTTCGACTTCCAAAACGGTTCGAAAACCAAGGTGCGGCTTCCGATTGGCTGCAGGAACTTCCTGTACTCAAGCAGAAGCCGTTTTGGACATCCGGCTTCTGAAAAAACGTTCACAAACCGGAACACTTACTTCTGGGTTTGCGGCATTTGGGAGCCGATTTGTTCGGCAAGTAAGCCGTTCGGGAACCAAGGTTTGACTGTACTGGGAAATACATTTTGTTAAGGGTGCTTGGAATTATAGTGCTGTGAGGGGAAAACTATAGTTCCCATGATTCTCTGGGTGAAGCTTTAAATGGACTTTAAGTGTACGGTGCAGATATCTCACTGCCCTCTGTTTCCTCTTTTTCTTCTTTCACACAGTGCTGTGCTGGAAATTCCTTCCATGTGTGTTAGGTGTGGACACTGGGTTAAATGACACAGTGCATATACTCTAAAGACACCATAGTCTCTGCTGACCTTCATTCAAAGGGAACCAAACCCTGAGTAATTGCTTGGAACCCCTAGAATCTCTCACCACTCAGAGATTGGGGCGACATGCAACGTGATAAACCTCTCTGCATCTAATAAATAATAATAATAATAATAATAATAATAATAATGAATTTTTATTTGTACCCCACCCTCCCAGGCCGGAGCCAGGCTCAGGGCGACTAACATTATAAAACTAACATAGTATACAAAGAACATAAAAACAGGCAATCAATTAATTAAAATACACCTTAAAATTAGTTCAGAGCAAATTAAAATCTGGACAGATGGCAGTCTACGGGTAAAATTGAGAGTGGTTAATATTCTCCAGGGCCAACTGTTACCACTGGTCTTATAAAGGACTTGTGAGCGGGTTAGGAGGCCTCTTTAATGCTTGTTCTTATAAAGAAAGAGAAGAATCAGACTGAACCCCGACCAAAGGCCTGGCGGAACAGCTCCATCTTGCAGGTCCTGTGGAAAGATGTCAAATCCCGCAGGGCCCTGGTCTCTTGTGAGAGAGTGTTCCACCAGGCCGGGGCCACAGCCGAAAAGACTCTGACTCTGGTCGAGGCCAGTCTAATCTCCCTGGGGCCTGGGATCTTCAGGGTGTTATTATTTGCAGACCTTAAGGTCCTCCGTGGGACATACCAGGAGAGGCGGTCCCATAGGTATGAAGCCGTATAGGGCTTTAAAGGTTAATACCAGCACCTTAAACCTGATCCTGTACTCCACCAGGAGCCAGTGCAGCTGGTATAGCACCGGATGAATGTGCTCCCGCGGCGAGGACCCCGTGAGGAGTCTCACCGCGGCATTATGCACCCGCTGGAGTTTCTGGGTCAGTTTCAAGGGCAGCCCCACGTAGAGCGAGTTACAATGCAGAATTGTCTACAGAAATAAAATAGCATACAGGTATAACAACCCAACAGCATCAAAACATTTAAAAAAACAAACCAAAATTTAAAACTGCAGAAATAAAATAGGCTCATTTGGAAAGAAAGAGGTTTTTTTCAACAAAAGCTGAAAGCAGCAATGTTGGGACTGGCTTCACTCCCAGGAAGAGTTTTTCAGGGATCTGGTGCCACAGTCCTTGAGCCACAGTGGCACCATCAACAAATCTTCATCAGCAGATCTAAGTGACTGGGGTGGGATGTCAGGGAGGAGGCAGCTATTCACACACCCTGTTCCACTCCAGCTGAGAGCATGACAAGGTGCATTAAGCAATCTTGTGCATGTGTGTTATCTCGTGCACTTATTTATCATGCAACAAATCTGCTCCCTTTGATAGCATTTTACTACAGTTAATTCATCTTACGTTTCTGCCAAATAACCGAGATGGCTGGTAGAAGTCCATAGGCAGATTTATCTTTCAATTTTCTTCCTCTTAAATTAATAATATTCTAATTCTGATCTCCCCCCCCTTCCCCCCCCTCCCCAAGCTTTCAACTCCTTTTCTCCTGGCAGGGCTCCATCTTGCGTGCAAATCAGAAAACCTTTCTCTCATTCCACAAGGCAGGCTTGCAACAATGACAGGCTACAAAATTTCACTACAAAATTAAGGGCGTGTTTTATTAATAGTTGTTTTCAGTTTCCTAGGGACAATATGAAGAAGCTGA